AGCGGGGCAAGCTGGGCCCTAGGTTTATTGGCTCGTTCATAATGTTGGCCCATATGGGCAAGGTGGATTACCTGTTGGAGCTACCGGAGGAGTTGAGATAGATTCATGATACCTTCCATGTTTCCCAGTTAAGAAAGTGTATAGGTAATGAGACAATTGTGGTTCCTTTCGAGGATATTCAGGTCGATGATCGCCTGAATTACATCAAGAAGCTTGTGACAATTTTGGATAGACAAGCGAAGACCTTGAGGAACAAGGTAGTGAACTTGTTCAAAGTTCAATGTCAACACCAGAAAGGCTCAAAGTCGACGCGGGAGCCTGAGTTTGAGATGCATGAACACTATCCTGATTTGTTTCCCAAGGAGGACTTCAAGGGTGAAGTTTGATTCTAGAGGGGGAGTTGTAACTTCCGATTATCAGGTATTTCCAATTTTAGTCCTTAACCTAATTGAAGTTTGCACTTTTGGTCCCATGTGGTTAAGTTTTTCATTTCAGTTGTACGATGGGCGTACATGTGGGTACGCACAGCGTATTCGTGAGAACGGATCGCGGAAGCCATGCTAGTACGATGGGCATATGTGTGGTATGCTAGTGTACTATCCCAGCCTCAAAACCCTAATTTTAAGGGTTTCCTCTCGTATTAAATCCACCTTATGCCTCTCTTGGACATTTCTCATCAACCACCTTCCCTCAAAAACCCAAATCTCGAGCCTAAGCTTTTTTTGTGAGATTTTAGAGCTTATTAGTGATTGTTGGTTCTTATTTGGTTAAGAAGAAGGCTATTGAAGAAGGGGGTGTTGCTTGCATGCTTATAGATCGATAAACTACTCCTCCTTGTGCATCTTTGGAAGGTATAAAGTCTATACATTGATGTGTTTATTTTTTATCTCTATAGATGATTTTTATGAGATTTTTATCCTAAAGTTTGGACCTTTATGAGCATAGGGCACTGCATAGAGTATTAGCTATCCTTTAATTCATGTTAGGTCTTGTAGATTCATAAAAAAAATGGTTGCTTAATGGTCCCTTTCTAGCCATGCAATAGTTTGGTGGTGTTGAGTATAAATTAAGTTAGGGTTTTAAGGTTAAAACCCTTTCAGCCATGCAACGGCTTAAAGTTTTAGAATTTATGGATTAAGACGTTCCAATAAGGTTAGATCTGTTTTTGGATGCATATCTTAATGATTAAGACCTTTTTTGGAGTAGTTTTGGGGTCAGATGGCTTATGCCCCACATACTAATGGCTACGTTGGACATCGATTCTGCCTAATTCTCGAGTACACCCCATGTAGGAAGAGAGTACGTCCAGCATATGCACTAGGCAGTTGACTTTTGCTGACTTTTGATATTTGGTCAAGATTTAGGGTTTCGGACCATGGGAGGCGCAAAATGGTCTTTTACCCTTAAGAGGTTTAGCTGTGGGTTTTGGACTTGCAACTTAAGTAATTGACCTTAATTATTAATTAGGGTTAATTATTGTGTTATTAGGTGGAGTCTAGTTTTGGTAGGTCGAGTGCGAGATTTATCTTTCATAAATATTAGGTGGGTCTCCTTAGTTATTCTTACATGTGTAGTAGAATAGTTGTATTTGTGATGACCAGCTGGGTCTAACTGTTATTTTGGTGTTATGTTGTTTATATGTGACTGAGACTGCAGATAGTCTCCACGGTTGCTAATAACCCATAGGGCATGTTGTTGCCCACTAGGACCACTGAGAGTCCTCAAGGTTGTTGATAACCCTTAGCTGCTTATTTATGTTGTGTTATATGTGGTATCTTGGAGAACTCACTATGCTTCGTGCTTATATTTGTTGATTTATGTGTTTCAGGTACTTCTGAGGATTGTGAGAAGGCGAAGGTCAGGTTTTACAGACTTATTGGGAGATTTGTTACTGGGGCAGTCTGTGACACTCTGATATTTTATGATTATAAATTGTATTTGACACTTATTTTTTTGGATGACTTGGTTCATGAACAATATTTTGGTAATTTAAAAATGAAAATTTTGGTTTAAAATTTGAGGGGCTACATGGTGGATGGGTTTACACCGTTAAGTCTGCCAAAAGAAACACATGTCGGAAACATGGAGAATACGCGAAAAAGATCGATGTCATGACGTTGAAGTCCATTTTCCATGGCGTGGAAGACATTTTTATGTAAAATATAAAAATTGGTTATTTTTCATAACCAAACTTATGCAAGAAGTTTCTTCCGACTTTAAACGACCATAAATAACTCTTGGAGACTATGGATACCATATTACGAGGAGAGAGCTTGATTTGAAGAGATTCGAAGGCACAATTATATCTAATAACTTGGTTTTCTTTGATTTATTCATGAAGTTTATGGTTAATTCAATTTTACTTGTTCTTCTACATTAGTTATGGGCTAAAAACCCTCACATCTGTTTAGAGTAGAAAAGCCTTTAACCTATGTGTTAATTCAATGATTTTGGATTTAATTTAGTTGATTATTAGTTATGCTTTCTTGTTAAAGAAACCTATGTGTTAAAGTAACTAGCTTTTCTGCTTATTGTTGAGTACTGTTAGGATTAGATAATCCATCTATCTTAATGTGCTTGAATCATATGAATTTATGAGCCATATAATTGTATGACTTAGGTTTTGACCAAAAAACTTGGGTTAAGTAGAAAAGTTGGTAACTTTAATATATATATATATATATATATATATATATATATATATATATAATTAAAATTTACTATCATTAGTGTCGATTAAAGAATTAAAGTCTTGTATAATTCGAACTAAACACTGATTTGTATGATTATTTGTCCACTTGATCACTGACTTAATAGATTTAATAAATCAAAAGATTCATAATTTTAGCATTGTTACTAGTCATAAAAGGAATTTGTAATCGATGAAGTTAAATCCATTGCACTATCATTTGAATTAAACATAGGGAATCGGTGGATTGTATCTAATCAAAAGTTCTCTTTTAATATTGTTTCAAAAATCATTATTTGCTTGTCTTTTGTTTAAGTAACTATATGTTATAAAAGTTTATTGCTATTAAGTTTCCTAAACTTGCAAAATTAGAACAACCCCTAATTAACTTTATTTAAATTAACTATCTTTTAGTAGATTATTTTGCCTAAAATTATTTATTTTCCCCAAGTGATCGACACCCTACTTACCTACTATTCTATTTCGCGACTTGGTATATTGTCTATCGTGTTTTAGCTTGTTAGATTAATTATATTTAATAAATTAAATACAAACATATAAGTAACGTATTAGAAGACTTTTGGTTTGTAATGACTTCCTAAACGCTTGCTTTCATTCGATTGTTACACTCTCGCATGATGTTTCGAACTATTTTATGAATACTTTAAAGTAAACCAATTAATTTATTGATTGGAACTTTAGGATCGTTTTCTGCAAACTAAACATTGAAAATATCTTTTAAGATTTAAATAAAGGTTGTTTTAGATAAGCGTGTGTGATGGGTGCTACAACGTGTTGGTGAGATGGAAACGTCGGGCAACACGAAGGGGATATGGAAGAGGATCGTCCAACGATTATATATATATATATATATATATATATATATATATATATATATATATATATATATTATATATATGAAGATTTGTATCGATCGTATACACTTCAAGTATAAAGAAACGAAAGTAAACTTAATCTAAGAAAAAAAAAACAACAGAAAGTAAATAAAACATGGAGTTCTCAAAAGTGTTCTTTCACCAAGAAAGGGTTTTCTCTTCACCAATAAGACAGTTTTTCACAAAGACGATTATGACACTAAGCCATGTTAATATTATGGTTTCACCCTAATGTTCGATATATACTAATCTATACAAGTATATCCCCTGATTGAATGGATTGTATCTTGTCTATACTAAGAACCGATCCTTATCACAAGGATATCAGATCTACTATATATATATATATATATATATATATATATATACACACACACACAAAAGATTACATAGAATAACTATACTAGGCATTGACGCTGATAGGCTTGATACGCTGGCGGTGTCGTTATTGTAGACGCTAATGCTGACAGATAGTGTGTAGGAGTGTTTGAATCATCAGATCATAAGGTGTGACCTTAAAATGTCCTCCTATCTGGTGATGTCAAAACTAATCTTCTTATTCAGATTCATCAGAAGAACCATTATAGAACTTGGCAGCTTCTTTCTTGATCTCAGGCTTAACCCATCTGAATTGGTCAATTTTAAGTTCATCCAATCTTTTACTAAGCTCCATAGATGTCAGCACTCGATATCCTTTTTCCAGTTCAAAGTGAGTAAGTCCTTCCATTTAAAGATGAAACAAGTGTTAAGTTGGAGCAGAAGGAAGATCATCAGTGCGTTGAAAGCACATGTGATTTTGATTGTCAAGATAAAATATCTCATGCCCTGGTTCTAGAATGAACATGTATTGAACTAGTTCAACATCTGTTGGCGGTTTATTTTTGATGTACCTAGTACCATAAGGAAAAGGAAACTTGGTATTCCTGGACTGTTTGGGAGCACATGTTCTTCTTGAAGAGGAGGGTCTAGATTGGACATGTTGATGGCACAAGGTTCAACTTCTTGACTTTATTATGTAACTGCTAAATTGCCATATTCACTTCCTAAGCATGAATACCCTTGTGTTTGTCAATAATTTCTTGAATTCTCATCCACTCACTGTAGCTAAATTTGACTAGCTCACGAGTAAATACAACTTTAGTGTATTCATATTCATTTTTTTCCTAACCAGATGAAGCTTTAGCGACTTGTTCCTTGGTTTAGTCCATCTTACTTTGATAATAGGATCAGGTTGTGTTTTATGAGTATGAACATCTCCAAACTCCTTCCTATATGTCCAGTCATTTAGGTCTGAAACTCTATGTTACTTCTCCATATTATTATTAAAGAGGTAAATTTTCTTGACTTGATCATCAACACTTTTATCAACAAAAGCATGAGCTTGAATAAGTTTGGCGGACAGATGTTCTTCTTTTCTAGCTTCTTTCTTTTGTCGAATAGCAACATTTATAATCTAACATGATTTCTCTAACTTCTTCAATGGGTAATCTCCATATTTTAGCTAACTCATTCAAATAAAAAAATGAGTTTTCTTCTCTTGGAAGGAGGGGTGTTGAAGGATCACCAATAGTAGAACTTCCAACTTCGTCATGAGCTCCCCCTGAGAAGGAAGCCTTCCTCATTCGAGGATTGAACTGATTGTTGTTAGAATCAATGTCACTACTAGTTCCTTGAGGAACCTCCCCCTCAAAGTAAGCATCAGGATATACAACATTCAGCAGAACAACGGGCACAACAACTTGTGCATGTAACCAAGATCAAGAAATCATTCATAACCGTCAGTCTCTGATTGATCACCAGTGCCTGGAATGGTCTGATAAGTTGTCGTATCAACATCTGAAATATCAGCAACAACTTTTTGAAGGTTAACCCTTCCAGTTTCAAAAATATCAAGCTAATATGGAGTTGGTGCAATCACCACCATTTGCATTTGTTGATTTAGATCCCCTTGATTATCCCCCCCCCCCCCTTGACAACATCAGATTGGAGAGGAGAGTTAGGATGTAGTGAAGGAGTGTAAGGAGGAGATGGCGGAGGAAGATTTATTAATAAGGGTGGAGGTGGAGGAAGGTTATTACCTAGAAAGTTTGGTGAGGTGTCATTGACAACCATTTCATCAATATCATCATCACCCGGGGCCATAAGTCGCTTCATCACAGCCACATCCTTTTCAAATTTAGTCAAGATTTTATCCATTGATTGATTTAACTATACAGTTAGAGTGATTTGAGAAAGAACAATAGTTTGAAAGTTGGAACTGGATTCATCCTGATCATCCTGATGAAAAGCAACTGTCTTGATAGGAGTTGGCATAGGAAAAACATTCTCAGATTGAGGAGAAACAGATGCTAACTCATCTTAGATTATTGGTTTAGTAGTTTACACCAAAATAGAGGTTGATCCATGTTGTACAACACTATTGGAAGAGGGAGTAGATGAAGAAGTCGATGAAAATCGAATGTGCTTGTTCATTACTTGGGGGAGAGTTCATTCCCAAAGCAAAGTATTATCCCTTATTAGTGTATGATTCTTCTTCATCTTTATCATATTCTTCTTCTTCATCATCCCCTTCTTTATTACCAACACCTTCTTCATAATCATCTTCACCATTTTCTTCATCGGTGTCTTCATCAATGTCTTCTTTACCATCATCCTCTTCAGAATCTGAGGATTTATCCACATAGGGTTTCTCAATCCATCTTTGCATCCTCATAGTGATAGGAAAATTTCCTTTAGATGGAGCGACATTAATAATATTGGAGGAAAGAGAAGGAATTGTAATGATGGTCCCATGACTTTCAACATAGCCTTCCTTGCGAGATAAGATCAGTCCAATTCATCATGGATAAGGAACATACATTGGCTTATTGTTACCAGGGACGCAGTCAATCACTTGATCTAGAAAAAGCTAAGAAAAATCTAGTCTTTCTTGTACGTAGTAGAATATAATACCCTTTGATCAAAAAGATTCAATTTATCCAAACAACCAGTCTTGTGTACAAGATATTTCCCAATTACACCTGTTAAATATTTCCATCATGCTTTAAAACACTAACGAAGAGTGTTCTTGTATGGATCACAAGTGAGGCCCTTAAGTTTGAAATTATATCCTAATTTTTCACGAACGGACTTGCAACTCTCTTCTGAGGGAGTTTCAAAGGAATTTTCTAATCGAGGAAGACGAACAGCAGTTCGAAAGGATTTCACATCAATAGTAACCCTATATTGACCATCTCTAATGGTTCTAGTAATGGTTCAGACAGTAGAATCAACAGAGCATGAATAATAGAACTCACATACTTGTTTAGGGTAGAATGAGTCTGGGAAATCACAAAAGGCATATCGAAGAGGACAACTTTTAACATAGTTGACGAAGTCTTCGATTCCTATGTTTGTGAAATGCTTTGGGTTTTCATTAGAGAATGTCACATTGTTCGCTTGAATGATGGGAGAGACAAGGCGTCAGGCCTTTTGATGACATTATCACCCATTATTACTCACTAAATCCCCATTTACTTTGATTACTATTGATTATAGACCAGTATTTGTTTACTTGGATTGACAATAGGCCTAATAAACGAGGAGAAGAGGATTACAAGATCCTACTATTCCCGCGTATTATTTATGGCTATTGATTATACGAAGGACACACTGGCCTATTTCTCATTCGATTTACTTGGACCATACTAGCAATGCTAATGGGCCACTAAGGCCAAATAGCACTTAAAAGCCATTGAGGGTCCCTTAAATATGAAATTGGGTCATAGAAGGCCCAATAACATTTATAATTATCCTTTGAGCCCAAAAATCATGTTAATGGGTCATAAAGGCCCAATAAGCATGTTTGGAACTTTCAAGCCCAAAGAATTTAATGTTTACTTGTTTTAGGAATTGTATAATTGTTGGAAGGTTTGATTGAACGATTGTTATTTTTCTGTATCGACACGAGACCGGTCGATTTGTTTTAACGATCTTTGGATTATACGTATATTCATCTCTCTATTTTCATGATTTGTGACTTTTGGTATTTTTGACTGAAATATCTTAGAAATAAAATAATTAGATTTGTTATGGCTCATTAGTGTATTTTATTTCGTTCTAGGCCCATTATGGCCCAAAATGTTAAAATAAATGGAAATGGGTCCAATTAGAGCCCATATAAGAGTTCTAAGCCCAAAATAGTCAAATTGGAAGCTTATTGGCCCATTAGGCCCAATAAGGAAATCCTAGTCCATAATGGACTTAAACCGGGATTTCTAAGGTTTCCAATTATTTGTTGACTATTTGAAGTGCTTTCACATTTTTGGTTCCCAAATGTTATTATTGTTGTTGTTACATGGTATAGAATTCCTAGTTGTTATAGTAAGCCATTGGGTTATGCTCAATGTTTCAGCAGAACATGAGTCTTGATGCATACAACAAGCATACTTCCAGGGATAGGGTCGGGTAAGATAGTTAACTAAGAACAAACACCCAAGCCTCTCTATTAATTTTTTATTTGGACCAAACAATCTCACTTGAAATTTTAGAGGGAATTTCGTCCTGAAATTCTTTCTAAAGCTAGATTCAAGAATGCGAGAATAGGTGAGGGTACTTCTGCTTCATCTGGTCTTCGTGTTCGCATGTGAATTCTGGCCCACGCTTCGCATTCCACCATACCTTCATAATCGGAATGCGATTTTGCTTAGTACGCTTCACCTCCCTGTCCATGATTTTGACTGGTTCTTAGACGAATAGGAGAATCTCGTTGATTTTTATTTCTTCAAGTGGAATGACGAGGGTTTCTTCGGATAAACACTTTTTCAGATTGGAAACATGGAACACGTGGTGTACGCTGCTGAGCTCAGCCGGTAGCTGCAGTCTATATGCCACTGGACTGATTCGGGCAAGAATCTCGAAGGGTCCAATGTATCGTGGGTTCAACTTTCCACATTTTCCAAAACAAATAGCCCCTTTCCAGGGAGAGACCTTTAACAACACTCGATCCCCAACTTGAAACTCCAAGGGCTTCTACCGTTTATCAACGTAGCTCTTATGTCGATCTCGTGATGCTTGTAGTCGAACTCTGATTTGAATTATCTTCTCTGTTGTTTCGCATATGATTTCTAGTCCCCTTAATGCATTGTCTGATGTCAATCCTCTCGCTAGCTGGGTTTCACATACCTCAGCCCAACACAACATTGATCTGCATTTACATCCATACAACGCCTCGAAGGGAGCAGCTTTGATGCTCGAGTGATAACTGTTGTTGTACGAGAATTCGATTAAGTTCAAGTGGGTATCCCACGACTTTCCAAAGTCTATCACACACACATGAAGCATGTCTTCAAGTGTCTGAATGGTTTGTTCGCTTTGACCATCTGTTTGTGGGTGATAAGCGATGCTCATGTCGAGATGTGTTCCCAGTGTTTTCTGAAATGATTGCCAAAAACGTGAAGTCAATCTACTATCTCTATCCGAGATGATAGATACTGGCACTCCATGGAGTCTCATAATTTCCTTGATGTATATCCTCATCAACCTCTCCATCTTGTAGGATTCTTTTATTGGCAGGAAATGAGCGGATTTCATCAATCTGTCGACTATTACCCATATGGTATCCAATCCATCTGTTGACTTGGGTAATTTGGTCACAAAGTCCATAGTAATCCTTTCCCATTTCCACTCGGGAATTACTGGTTGTTGTAATAATCCCGAGGGCTTCTGATATTCTATCTTCACTCTAGCGCAAGTAAGGCATTTGCTAACATAGGTGGCAATATCTTCCACATGTTGGGCCACTAATAAAGTTTCTTGATATCCAAGTACCTTTTAACTGAACCCGGATGGATGGAGTATCGTGTCTTGTGGGCTTCATTCATGACTACCTCTCTGAATCCTCCATGTTTAGGGATCCAAATGCGGTTCATGAAATAATATGTTCCATCCTCCTTCACTTTGAAATTCTTTTCCATCCCTCGTACGCATTGCTTTCTTTGTTTTCCGTATTCATGGCATCGGACTGGGCTGCTATGATTTGGGAGGTCAGGTAGGATTGAATGGTTATGGAGAGAGTCTTTACATGATGATTTGAGTATTCTTTCCGACTCAAGGCATCAGCTACCACATTAGCCTTTCCTGGGTGGTACTTGATTTCACACTCATAATCGTTTAGTAGCTTAACCCACCTTCGTTGTCTCATGTTCAATTCTTTTTGATTTAGGACATGTTGGAGACTCTTGTGGTCCGTAAAAATGGTGCACTTGGTACCATAAAGATAGTGCCTCCAAATTTTTAAGGCGAAGATCACAACTCCCAATTCTAAATCATGGGTCGTATAGTTCACCTCGTGTGTCTTTAGTTGTTGGGATGCATAAGCTATCACCTTCCCATGTTGCATGAGTACGCAACCAAAACCCTAATTCGACGCATCGTAGAAAACTACGAAGTCCTCTGTTCCTTCTGGTAGTGATAGTACCGGTGTGCTGCAGAGTGCAAAATTCAGAGTTCGGAATGCAACCTCTTGCTTATCTGTCCATTCGAAGGGTACACCTTTTTGTGTAAGCATGGTAAGTGGCTTGGCGGTCATAGAGAAGTTTTGGATGAACCTCCTGTAATAACCTGGTAGACCTAAAAACTAATGAATTTCTATGGGTGTCATTGGGGTTGCCCATCCTTCAATGGCTTTGACCTTAAAAGGATCCACATGTATCCCTTCTTCACTAACAACATGACCCAAAAAGTTCACACTGCGGAGCCAGAACTCACACTTAGAGAATTTTGCGTATAGTTTCTCGGTTCGCAGGGTTTCCAGGATTTGTCGGAGATGTTGGTCGTGCTCCTCTTTGTTTCAAGAGTAAACTAGAATGTCGTCAATGAAAACGATGACAAAGTTGTCAAGGAATGGTCGGC